ATCCTGCAATCTATATTCAGCATTCGTTATATTCAGGTAGTATTTGTTTGTATTGCATTTACTTTTGCATAATAAAAACATATACAGAGAACTCAAACTTTTGAATTTGTGAACGGATTGTTGAATACAAGTCGGGCAACAGTTACAATGTTCCATACTATAAAGGCCAGTACAATTATAAGCTGGGTAAGAACATTCGAACGTACCTTATCATTATGTGATTTTGCGATTTCCGAAAAACCTTTGGCAATCTGCATAAGAGCATGGTTTACCTCATGATATTTCAGACAGACTTCTTATTTAGATCATAAATGATCTGACAGAGCGTAAGTAATCTGATTTCTGTCTTTCTTCATTTTCCTCTTGGAAAAATATTTTCTTAAAAGGTTAGCTATTAGACCCATTTATGTAATCGTTAATGCTAATGGAGTGTTCTTGTTGTTGTTACATCGTTTTCTTACTCAGAAATAATCCCAATAATTCTAAACAGAAGGAAATAAACCCCGAAATACTGAATGCCTCTTATACAAACCTACCCTGTTAACTTCTTTTCACTTGTAAAATTAGTAGACTGAACATGCAGTGGAAGGTTTTAAAAAGATGTCAACTTGTATAACAAAACTTCGGAAAATTCTTTAAGTCCTGATATCCAGTTAGATGCTACAGGAATTGTTACATGGAGCCCAAACATTGATAATGACTGTCTAACCATATACACAAACATGAAACGACAGATAATATCAAAACATAAATAAATGCCGAAATATACAGATAAATGTTCAAACTGTCCGGCAACACTTATCGGAAGTACCATCATCATTCTTTATTCCTCAAAAATGAGAGTGTATAATACAAAATGCAGCGTTGAAATATATCTGTGCTGCTTTCCAAAGGAAATAAGCACTGTCTTGCGCAAATTCACAGCACACAGTTTTGTTATCAAAATCATGATTGTCTATGGTTCCTTTGAAAAGAGCTACTACAAGTTCCTCTTCTGCCATTTGAGACAATAGCAGATACGGTTGAACACCAAAGTAGTTTATTACTTTGTCCATGAAGGTGTCCCTTAAAATGATGTCACATTACAGTCCGTGACGAAATGCCTGATTACGTCATGGAAGGGTTTCCCGCACTTGCTACATATTTAACTATGTTCTAATGGTGGACAGGTTATTATCTTGCAAATAAATAATATTACTTTCTTGTTCGTGTTTTGTAACTTTAACAAGTTATACGGTTCACTATATGTCAAATGTATATGTTTAAAACGACTAAAATCACGATCACTGTTCATTCTTGCTTTCAGTAGTGTGTTTTCGCGTATATGTACTCGAGTCGTGCTGAAAAGTTTCCATCTTCGGCATATTGACATATATACGGTGTTAATTTGTATTTTTGAAGAATGTCAATTATATCTGGCACGAATCCATCCTGTTTATTCGACCTTTCCTCATGTTCTAGGAATTTCAAGAGTCTACGAATGAAGATATCCTTTGTTGTACTATTTGGCGAGCTACTGATTAGACACATTAGAAAGTTTAGTTTCCTTTTTTCAATTTCACTATTAATTCTATTATTGCCTAGAATCGTTTCACACATATCCGCTCTCGAAGATTTCCTCATATTCAGAATCATTTTTGCTGTGTAATGCNCCCCCCCCCCCCCTTGCCGTACTGACCTATTCATACTGAACCACCGTGATTGAACATTATTATGGACGACAGCACTGGCAATTCCTTGATATGTGTTACGCAACATTTTGAACAGATTTCCGGTTATTCCATGCTCATACAACTTATGAAATAGGCCTTTATGCTGCACGGTATCGAAAGCTTTGTATGTATCTACGAAAATGAAATAATACTGGCAAATTAATATCAGAAGACCGACTCATCCAAGATTTCCGCTTGCAAGACAAATCGCAAAAGAAAAGTATTGAACCATTTGGCCGAACTTTCCAGTCTGGTAACAGTAGACTATTTGTAATCCAGGTTAGGTCAAGATTGATTAAGAAACGTCCATTTTTCTCAAATACCGGCTTTATATGCATATTGAATTAAGAAGGTGCCACCAAACCAAACATTGTGGATAAATCCGTTATCACAAAAAACTCACGAAATTACGGGTATGGACTTCATTTATATATTACAAAATACAATATATAAAGGCATAATAATAATAAGTGGTCACTAACATGGGGATAGTTAGAAGTCGGGATATAAGTTAAAATTGCATGCAGTCATTTGCACTGCTGAATATAAATATCGATTGATCATAGTTTTTTAAACATTGGTCTTAAATAATCAAGTTATTTTTTTTTTAAATCAACCCACTCAAATAACTTAATTCTAAAATGTTTTAGCCCATTTTCCCTACTACCCATCTCAGCGTAATACAGAAAATAATTCAACATACAAGACATTAAACAAAAATACACCTCCCCTTAAGGGCCTCCAATAATTGACCGTGCTTCCTTACACAAATATATCATTTTGGCTCAAAGCCATCATTACAAGATTAAATGTTGTTTATCAATAAACACTGGCTTTCACATTAAATATATATAACAATTTACTGAAGATTCTGAGTAATTTGTTTGATATTAACATCATTCAGTAGAAAATGGACTGTTAAACGACAAGGCAGGCTCCGGTACATTTCCGAGAATCGTGAAGCGACTGTCAGTATAGGAAACACATTTCTTATGTTGCCGGCTTATAAACTAAACCAAACGGTAATCGTTTATCTTTTTAGAGAGTTATTGCCCTTCTGTGCTTTGAAGATTCTAAAACTGATTTTAATCTTAGCATGACAACTAAGATCCCAATTTCCATGACATTTGTAGGAAAGTATGTGTTTATACAATTATACACGTGTAACATTGCTTATTATCTCTATTCACCTCTGTAGACTAAATTTACTGCCTTATTTTTTCTCTCCGCTAGGCTTGGATGTATCTGTTGTCTGAGTACTTGACTTTCCTGAATCCATTTTAACTTCATCATATTGTTTTTGTGTCATCACAAAATACTGCTTAATTTGTTTAACGTCGGTTGGTAAACTCCAAAACGCTCTTGTCAACGTGATTGTCGTCACCAATAAGACCTGAAGTTTGGTTTATAAGCTATATAAGATAGTGTCTGTGAAAATCCTGCTTAGATCAAAGTAATACCAAACTGTTTGCTGTGACAAATACGACAAACACAAGGCACTCAATGACAATCGGTAATGACGTACACGTACTATTGCAACAATGGACGCTGAAAACAGCAGTACACTTTTTTTTCAAATCAAAATAAGATCCCTCATTGCATTTCGTTATGACATAAAGTGCAATGACAGATATCATTTTATTGACAATGCCAGTCTGATGTCGGCGTAAAGCCACAATCTGTTGATATATTATCTTTATGTATAGAAATTATACAAGTCTCAGATGAATGTTAGCAAAATGCTTTAGGCGAAAATATATTGATTTTATTTCATATATAATAAAAGTATAAGGTAAATATAGCATGGTTGTATTTTGCAGCTGATGGAAGACGGCTGTCCCTCAGTCTACTTTGTTCATTACATAGTCATAATTAAAAGTCATGACGTAACCGTCGTAAGGTCAAATGCGAGGTCAAACATGACGTTTTGGTGCAAAGTTGTTTTTGTTTTTTTTTTGTTTGTTTTGGTGCAAAGTTGTGTGGATATTCATTTTTCCAGATACCTGCCATGTAGCACTGGTTATTTCAGATTGCACTCATCAGCCAATCACAGTCGTTGTTACACACCCATTACGATGTAATTTATATATATTATCAAATAACGCGGAATATGGCGGTATTGACGCTGACATGCGCATTTGGTTTTGTCAACCAACGTTTCGGTCCCGCAGTTAATAAAACAAACGATGGAGGTTATTGAAAATGTTGTATAAACAGCCTAAGTTTATGGTTTATTTTTATTTTTGTTACTCCCGCCTACGAATGTGGTATTTTCTACAATTGTCCGTTTTGTGAAAGATTTTAACTTCGTTAAATTGGCGTCTGAATACATTTAATCCTTCGAATCCTTCTCGTGTTCATGGATTTTGCTATCTTGCGACTTTTTCATCTTCAGAGCGTATCATTCCTATGTAACCATAAGTCGTGTCCTTTCTCAGACAGCTCTGTCTCTTCCCGAAGATGTCTCTACTTGAATCTGAAGATTTTCAATTGGAATTGTTCGATTGTTTAATTTCTCCTAGAGTCTATTATTTGTCTACTTACAGGAGCTACACATTAAAAGAATTAAGCATTCCTATAGAACACCGGTTTGGTAATAATTAATTTATCTGTGTTTGATCAGGTCTTTTAGCAAACAACATGAATACCAAGCTCGACGTTTTTATAGAAGGACGGTGCGTTAGTGCCGAGGACCACACAAACACAGTCCCGACTGGTGCTTCTCTGTAATTTGTTATGTATGTGGACTTAAGTCAACATATCGAATGAAGAGTCAATACGACAAACTTGTAATAAAATATCGAGTGATCGGACTCGTGTCTAGTCTACCAGATCGGCCCCTATTAGGGGCTGGGTATGTGCCCGGGTGTGTGAAGTGTGTACGGGAGGTGTGAGTAGGCTACAAAGAGGAAAGACTATTTACTTCTCCTCAACCTCACAGTTCGTCACTATCCTTGTCTCTCCTTGTACGCCATACACACAGAAGAAAAAGTCGGCTTTTTTTCTACCAAACAAATATTTCATTTTTTGAATCTATAATAGAGCTACAGGAATCGACCGGTAGCAGGTAATGGTGGGTTTAAGACGGACAAAGACTTAAATAAATACCAACTTACAAGTGGTGTAAATGTACAAAGTGATTTATTGTTTACACGAGGAAATGTAGACAGTTCCGTATCACTAGCATTGGGGTAAATATACAATATTTACAATATTTACAATCTTTACAATATATACAAAATACTTTAATGTTATCAACATCTACACATTTTCATTCTTTGTGTTTTTCTTTCTTCTCTCTCACATTTTCTCTCTGTCTTTCTCTCGTAGTTTTTCTTATAGTACTCCTCTTCGTTCTTTTCGTTTGTTCACTGCTCTCTTTTCATACACACAGAAACTTTATGTTCGTTCATTATCGGGTCGTTTATAGTCACAGAGCCACCCCCTCCATCCCCCTTCCCCTTTAGATCTCTGGCTACAATGTTGTCTATTATCAGTGACATTTTTTAGAGATAACACCTTCTACTTGGAACACCTGTGCCAGTTCATTAATCTTTGTGTAACAAATATCTTAAACCTTTTCGCACAAATCAATTGCAACGTAGAGCTAATAATTTTGATTGAGGGTCGGAATAAATAACAAGATATCCGTGAAATCCGTCCGGTCGATTGGTCCAGATTTTAGTAAATACAATAACGATCGCTCGTGAGACCTTGGTGATTTAGGTGAATACTTAGTGATCGAATCGAATGCGCCGATAAAATTAATGGCTGTTGTTCATTGTGGTCGCAAAGATTTGTGGGTTAGAGGTGTGAGTATGGCAGTTAGTTAGGAAATATATACAGGTAGAAAACCTAATCAGTTGTTTACTTGTAACACCTGTGCAAACCCTACTTGTCACCAGGTAGATACAATTTACTTCTTTAGAAAAAGAATCCTTCTTAAGATTGAAAAAAATGAACCTAGATATTTTGCCATAAACAAACCCTGAGAAAATGTCATGATAGGGTTTAGTAGACTAATCCTATGTTTTTTTGATTTTTTTGAGCATTGATTGAAAAATCGATTTGTATTTGAGTGATTCAAATTATATTTAACGGATTACAGAGTTTAGTGTTTTGACTATTGTAATGAGTATCTCATGGATAACACAGCACTTGGGTTTACATACAGTGACCGACAACCCATACAAACAGTAAGATTCATAGCAACATATACAATAGTTAAAAATGTCATTTTGCATCCAGAACCGGCCCATACATTTTTTTTATCACAGACGCACGTGACCTAATTCTATCCAATCACAATGAAGATTCTACTTAGATTGGTGGCGGAGACAAAGGACCCCATGCGGTGTTCTTGAAAACGTCACGATTGGATGAAAAGGATGAAATGTCACATGTTTCAAAGGATGACGTAGGCACTGAGTTTGATAGAGTCACGTGTGGTACACTGGAAATCGTTGTCGTACTGTTACATAACGTGTAGGGGGCGCTTGAGCGCAGATACGGCATTGCACAGTTCTGATTGGGTGATAGGTTTCCGATCGGTCCACCCATTGGCCACATTCCGTACTGTGACTGCGGTGCTGTCGTATTTGATTGTCCCAGCATTCCGTGACTTCCGGTAGACATATGCGGCCAGTTGTCGGCTATATTTAGAACAGGTATATTGCTGGTTACGTCCCTTGGGTAGCCCCCTGAAAACAAAATAGAGAAAATTGATTAGGAACATTGTATTTTTGTATTTAATGAAAAAACACCAACGACTTCATTCATTGATATCATCATCAAAACCACGTTGAATGTATCATTAGCAGTATAAAATAAAGGCCCAACATCTACCATATAGTCTATAATGACTTTCTACTGATTTACAAATGCTGAAGATTACACATATAACATTTATTAACTGAAGATAATCATTCCTATAAATTAGAGAACGGTTGGCGGTTGAGTATAGCCAACACAATTCAAGACCAGACTCTATGTGTAGGACTTTCATACCAGCTACTACATTTTCGCATAAAGTGTTTTGTTTTTCGCGAAAATACTACATTAAAAGTATGGATTTGGTTTTTCATCAAAACAGCTCATACATATCAAACTGTCGATCTGTTTTGTATTCCTATCAGTTATATCAGCTACGTACTGGAATTTGTTTAACAATGAGCGGCGATTAATGTGTGATCATAAAATGATAATTTGTTTAGGGATAGTAGGGGTACAGGGGCCAACGTTACTCTGTCCACCACCCCTTTTAGCGTTATCAGCAGCCATCATGATATCGTAGATCGCTTAAGGTTTCAATAAAAGAGAATAAAGAAACTGAAAAGGATCCCGTCAACCGTTAAATTATTTGAAATAGTCCGTAAGGGGTCTATCCACCCGAGTCTAGTACTAAATACAGCCAAATATTCAATAAAAACATACGGCCGAGTCATCAGGCCTCTGTCCTAGGTAATACATGTATTTTAAAGGAAATTAATTGCCGTACATCAAAGAGGCCGCTTAGGTCTTAAAGGGAGATAGAAAAGACGGAATTTTACGAGCAGCGGAACGAACCCTGGCATAAAGTTGGGTACGGACTTATGTAGGCCGTTTTGTCTGGCGGAGTGGCACTTAGGTGCTAACTAAGGAGACAGTGCAATCGATGTTAATGGGCGCTGAAAGACTCGAGACCTACCCTTACTTTACTAGTCTTTCTATTTTACTGGGGGGCACACAGCGTGGTCAAACACCATAAAATGTTTTCTTAAGAGCTGATAATTGTCCCAAATTTACCGCTTACTGCCCCTCTTATGCCCTGACATTGATGACGTCTTCATTTGAATCTAACTTAGAGTACCTGGAGCGGTTTATACTGATGTGGATATCAGATTAGCATACCAATTAGTCATTATTTAAAGTCAACCGGAAATCTCTCAATATCTCTTAACAAGACTCAATATCTCTTAACAAACCTAACATTTATTTCAAGAAAGGCTTTAACCTTGAAATAAGATGTAGCAGTCTTAAATGTAACGTTGCTGTTGATCAGTCGAAATAGTCTGGTTGATAAAAGAAGGAGAAAAGGGGAAAAGGTCAGTTATAGAATGATACAGAAATGCAAATCTGGTCGAAGTTTTGTCTGACTGTACGATGTGTACTGTAAGAGGGGGACATGAACGGTAAAATATTAACATGTTCTGGTCCTGTAATTTCATTTAAAGAAACGATTAAGCCAAGTCCTAGGAAGGCTGAAATTGACAACTGTAGGAAATACAATAGAGCAATACCATTACATGTGTGCTACATGTAACAGACGGGGGGAAACAAACCCTACCATAAGTGAAACTTGAGCGAAAAATGTGTACATATTTGTGTGTCTAATTTCAGTGTGGAAATAAATTCCGAAGGGATCATTTGAGCGGGTAATTTTATATTTACATGTAGGATGATTTCCGTGGAGGCGGTTCGGTATGTGTGCGAGAAATTTGTAAACAGTCTGTATTCTACTTTCCGTGAGGAAAAACACTTCCAAACAATATTTGGATGGAAGAATTTGAGCGGGGAATTGTATATGTACTTGTACTGTACTTTGGAGTATTGGAGTAGTTTCATGGTACATTTTCTTTCATTATCCATTCCGTGAAGGAAACACATCTCGCGAGAGTTTGACAGCGGAATTTTATGTTCTTGTTGTGTAAATTCCGTTAGAGGGGAACAATTTCCGCAATATTTGGGAGGAACGATTCGGGCTGGAATAGTATATATTCTTGTATTGCACTTTCCACAAGGAGAAATATATCCTGAAATATATGGGAGGGAGAATTGAAGCGAAAAATCATATTGTACTCAACATGAGAAGAAAGCATCCCGGTAATATTTGGTAGGGCGAACTTGTATTGTACTTACCGTGAGGTGGAGACCTCCGTTGGTAGGGATGGGGATAGGGTGAGGTCCGCGCCTGTCTGAGGCTGAGCCGATCACAATGGGCGTTCGACAGGTTGATGGCGTTAGGGAACTGATGCGCGGGGGGTGGGACCAAGGAATGACCTCCTGGGGGTATGTACCAGGTGCTCGCCACTGCTCAAAGAAATTTACATATATAAGATATCTGTACTGTCATAGAGTAAAAGATAAATGAAATCCACTATTTTCCATTAGAATTTTTTGACACATTATTGGGTTGGTTTTTTTTTTATTATAGACGGTTTTCATTGCATGTTTTATAATATACCGCTGAAACTAAAATTTGTTTGGTTTTAAAAAGATAAGTTGTAGTTCTGTTAGTTGCATCCCTTTGAAGTAATTTGGTGCATATAATAAGATACTCGTATTGATAAAACTTTTTGTATGAAATAAAATTAAAAGATTGCGTGTCAAATAACAAATGAAAACTTCACATTTTTATGATTTAAATTTCACAAAATTAAAAGAAGAAAAAAAAATGAAATTTTGGAATTGTATCCTCTGAGACATTAATTGAATCGTTGCTATTACAATATCGTGAAAGCATGTAGGTCTTATCAGGCGAGGGTAGGATGGCAGTTACAATCCACACACCCTCCATATCATTTTCATTATAAACGTTGCATTAAAACCGAGCATTCTTGCGATAGAATCATGAAGCGGTGGGGCCTGACTGCGGAGTGAGTATAAGTTTCTCCCCTAGTGGGGGGTAGAAGTTTCGTACAGTTTTATTCGAGGGACGCGTTGAAAGCCTTGTGGAGGATGGGAGGGCATTTTATATCCTTTTTAAGTGGGACAATTGTTAGCGAATAAACGGGGCGACAAATACGAGTAGTTAAGATGACAATGTTCAGATGACAGATACTATCGTTGACAAGTAATGGCCTCAGAGGAATCAAGTTATAGACAGGCTGTCAGCTAGCGTAGGGAGGGGCCTCACACGTCCGCGTACGGAACACCCGTGCATGTGTACATCTCTTGTACGTCTGACTGACCCTTTATGCCTGCCCCACCCTAATGTGCAGTTCGACCTCCCCCTAAGGACTCTCTGTTGTGGCGTTACAATTGTTCCTCAATTCAAAATCAGCGTCAAATAATGTGATAATTATTTTCTCTGACTGCGAGAAATACTATCCAGCTGCTCCTTATTTCCAAAAAAGAGAAAATATCCTTTGACATTGATAAACTGTTAGTTAAAATTTGATAACTAGTTTTTATTTAAAACATATTAAGTTCCAATAGTTTTTAATCAGCAGATATTCATGTGGAAATGGATATATGTAAATGGAGTCACTGACACGAGGACGGTGTGAACTAATTGAATTATAGCCAGTATATATAACATTGTTACCCACTACCCCGACTTGTGAGGACCGCGTCTAGTTTAGTGTAGTAGCCCGTCGCCTACCCCGGAGGTTTAGGTTTCCACGTCAAATATAAAGTCGAATTACCTTTAGGATGAGGAACAAATTAAATTGCCCAGAAAACTATCATAAAAGTCACTAATAACACACAATCATTGCCAGGCCACCTAGGAGGGGTTAAACAAGGCATATTGTGTTTCATATTAAACGGAGGATTTTCTCCTCTTTTCATACCCGACTTAATTTGTTTGTATGGTAAGTAATACGCCGGAGTGTAATCCCAGGTAAAACAGCGCGCGGAGACGTGATTGGTTCGCTACCTTTTGAACAGGTAATTTAATTAAACCAGGCGATGATTGGGTAAATTTTAACACGTATCTCTGAAGAGATGAAAGGTGCAAGTTAAGCTACACCTAACTATTAAGATTGTCCTCACAGTTCATATAAGCAGATACAAGTGTCTACCAGATACATCATACCTGCGCGTTATTTACCTGTGCATATTATTGATCATCAAAGATCCCGATTACCTATCAACACCTATTAATACTAACGTTATCAGACTAAAGCGATCTGCTCTAGGCAGTGGGGTAATTTATTGATAGTGTTTTGTGGGCGTTATCTCGTGTGCGTCTCAATTGCGTGACAGTTGTGGCCTAACATAGATCGCTGTACCTGTACATACCCGGTCTGGTGTCGGCCCCATACACCCCACTACTTCATTATAGATAAGTCTATAACAAAAACTGAATGTTGTCTATGACCAGTGCCAACAGACTTCACGGTAAAGCCGACATTCTAGTGTTCACCTCACGATCCACCTTGATAGTCAATGTTAAACAATTTGTCTACCTGATAATACCACACAGAAAACATCACCTGAACACCTGGCCAGGTGTGATGATTACAGGTACATATCAATACGCTCGTTTTACTTCCACAATTTACTGATAATTGCCTGTCACGTCACTGTGTGCACCACACAAAAATGGTCGACTATAAATTACACTTTTTCCCCAAATGAACGAGAGAGAAAAAATGAAAGTTTTCCCAATTTCATTTTGATCGCTCTGTTGTGGTAACACCAATTGAAGATCAAAAATCCTCAAAACTATTTGTATAACATGCCTAAAAAAAGGGAGAGGATGTTTTAACTATGATTTTATTGTAAAAGTTTGTTTGTGATATCATGTAATGTGTATTTTCATTTGTACATTAGCGCTTCTTTCTGGGACACTCATGGTCTGATTCGGTCATTATATACTTACGGTGGGATAGTGACCGCTGGCCATCCAGAGAGTCATCGATGAATTCTTTCTGATCAGGCCTGCAAATAAAATAGTTACAGAAATGTCATTTTTGTATACTGTATAGCGATAAATATATAAAACAGCTTATCAATATATTGAATAAATAGTGCTGACCCGTCTCAGTCGTTCTAAAGACGAGTATATCCGTACAAAAGTCGTATAAACTCGAACCAAAGTCGGGTAGGTCGTAAACAAGTCAACTCGTGTTATCACCTACAAACTTGTGCACAGGTCGTGTTAGTCGTATTCAAGTCGTGTTAGTCGTATACAAGATGTGTTAACTCTTATACAAGTCGTGTAAACTCTTNATATGTCGTGTTAACTCGTACATATGTCGTGTTAACTCGTACATATATCGTGTTAACTAGAACATATGTCGTGTTAACTCGTACATATGTCGTGTTAACTCGTAAATATGTCGTGTTAACTTGTCCAAATGTCGTGTTAACTTGTACATATGTCGTGTTAACTCGTACATATGTCGTGTTAACTCATACAGAAATCGTGTTAACTCGTACATAGGTCGTGTTAACTCATACAGAAATCTTGTTAACTCATACACATGTCGTGTTAACTCATACAGAAATCATGTTAACTCATACACATGTCGTGTTAACTCATACAGAAATCGTGTTAACTCGTACATAAGTCGTGTTAACTCATACAGAAATCTTGTTAACTCATACACATGTCGTGTTAACTCATTCAGAAATCGTGTTAACTCGTACATATGTCGTGTTAACTCGTAAATATGTCGTGTTAACTTGTCCAAATGTCGTGTTAACTCGTACATATGTCGTGTTAACTCGTTCATATGTCGTGTTAACTCGTACATATGTCGTGTTAACTTGTCCAAATGTCATGTTAGCTTGTACATATGTCGTGTTAACTTGTACCAAAGTAATGTAACTCATACACAAGTCCTGTTAACTCATACACAATTCCTGTTATATCGTATAGAAGTCGTTTCAACTTGAACATATGACTTGTTAACTTGTACTTATGATTTTTTTCTGAATATCTACATTTGTATTTGTCAGCTAGTACACAATTCGTGCACGAAGCCGACCTCCAACATCTCATGGAGAGGAGATATGTCACTCATGTGCATTGTTGTACCTGGATAGCTATCCTGTAATTATTTAGTGTACTTCGCCGACTTGTTTAAACAAACCCTCGTTAATAGATTTGACATACTGTGATACACTTTGACTGGTGAAGGTCTGCTCGGGACCTTTCAAGTTTAAAGTGTTAAGGTATTATGTGAAGTATAAACTATTTATTGGAAGCTAGTATGTTGACATACGTTAACACTCACATAGCTATCCCCATGTTTTTCTTGTGTTCTGAACCATTAATTAAACTCTAAGAAAATTCCAACAGTGTTGTTTAAATATTTAACGCGACAATTATTTCGTATTTCTCGATATCACCGACTGGGGATTGATCACTTATTGCGTCCTTTTACCATTAAAGGTTAAACCAAATAAACTTTACCACCGGGATCTGATTAAATCTTACAATAAACAACAATACGTTCGCTTGATTGTCTTTGCGCCTTTGAAGCCCGAGGTTCAAATAAGGACCTTGTGTGTCGTATGCAATCACTCGGGTTGAGTACTATGGATAATAAAATGGAGGATGTAAGAAATTGCCATTTCATGCGCCATTTCTATTTGCTCACCTTTCTTTGGCGTCCAGGAAGGCCTTGGCAAAAGGATTGTGCTTTATTTTCAAGGCAGTGATCTGAAAAGATAAAAATACAAATATATAAAATGATATATAAAATGAAGGTCTCGCTTTACCAGTTTATCTTTGTACTATACCTGTCACTGGAGCTCGAGTAGATTGAAGTCAGTAATTTAGTATTAGTTATGATCACAGAGTGGCCTACAGTAAACACAGAAACTCACGGATGGAAATATCAGAGAGTAAATGGGACCGACAATCTCTTAGGCCTCCTGAGATTACTTGCAAATAAAGTAAAACACTAAACAGTTGCAAGACACAGGGACGCGCATATTTTGTACGCTACAAATAGATAAAGGTTTATGTCTACACAGGTGAGAATTTTACTAAATGTACCTGGATGTAACCTGTCAATACAACAAAACGGCAAAAGAACAAATAGCCTGACAAATAAATAACATGGCAGACGAGGAATGCAGAAAACAACCACCTGCTGTTAAGACGGTTGTCACTACATATAAAGATCTTCGAATTGGAAATAATATGATCAATCTTAATTAAAGCAGAGAGTTCCAAATTGCTCTGTGTCGTATCTCCAACGAAGAAGAGTTCCAAGTTGTTCCGCTTTTTCTGACACGCCCATTTACTGAGTTATGTGAGAAAAATATATTTGTCATTTGTCTATTTTTTTCCAAAAACAACTCTAACTGGCATGGCGATTCAATCTGCAAACCATTTGATAATTATACAGGGAACCTATCGACTACCGTCATGATATTTGTTATGCTAAAACTTACATGGGATTCAAAATATTCCACGCACCTCTCTAAAATCGCACACAACCCATAACTATTTTTGTATAATTATACAGGACACAACACATATTTACATGAAAATAACTTTTCATGGAACATTTAATTTAGAGGCTCAGTAATCGCATCATATATGTCAATATTTTCAGGAATAAAACAAATCATTTTAGATATTTAATTATTCTAGAATGTGCATCGAGCACAAAGACCTTAGTTGGTGTGCTCAGACCTATATTACTGATTATATCACAGTTAGTTTAGATCTTGATGTGTCAGGCAGGGTTAGGATCGAGCACCTTCCGTCAATGACTATTTACTCGTACAACATTCAACTAGAACTTGATTTAACGAGACAGTATCAGCACACACAGTACTTATGGCCGAGCCTGCTCAGTCAATGTCAGCCGCCACCTCAAATCACAACTTTAAATACGGCGTGAGAAATTTAAACAAAATCTCTGACATAAATACACAGAATGATAGCGTTAATGATTTTCCTAATCATTTTTTTCTGCCGATAAGTGAATTGAAATAGCTTGTGGATGCCGTAACGAATCGTCGTTAGACCATCATTAGCACTCTCTTGAAAAGGAGTTACAAATAGGTGTTACCCTGGGAGCGTTCGATTGTAACATGATATCACGCAAGCATTTGAAATCGGACAGTGAGCAAACATAACGTGAGGCTAGGAAAACACACGTTTGAAACATTTTTTCGAGTTGGCTGTCTTTTTATAATTTTCTTTAAACATTGAATCATAGCAAAGTTGAAAGTTGCCTTTGATCATTTCCCTAGCCGTTTACTTGATTATAACTACGTCGATAATAAAGTTGATCTTAATTTTCAAACTTCGTCAAAGACTTGAGGACAGAATCTTTTGTGTGTGCGTTCGTGCCCGCTGTTAAGGAATTCACTCGTACTCCCCTTTAAATCTCTTCGAGTAGCAATTTCCCTCATAAATGAAAAAGGACGGCCCAATTTTTTTCGGGATATTATTGATAAATTTCAAATGGACACATTTTCGTGTTGCTGTAAATATTAGATACAATTGTAACATGTACTTTTAAAAAATTGAACCAAGAAAAAAAAAAATCTAAACACTCGTAAAACTGTTCTTATTTTGACACAAGACAAGTATTTATTCAAATGTCACAGCGAAGACGTCAAAGTTTGAATACAATTCCAATCTACCTGCCAAGGGTGCATATCAAACAGGTGAAAAACTCATCGAGAAAAAAAAACTTCGTTAAAAGCCAACACAGATGTATGGACTCGCGTCTGATAAAACATAGGAATTCATTTCAACGCCAGAAATTCTTTAACGAGTGACAAAGGAGCACTAGATATTGCAGTTTAATTACACTCTACGAGGAGGTGCCATTTTATAAGTCAATGGTGGATCACTGTCGGTACACGTGTCGTTTTATACGTTCTGGAATGTTTCCTTCTGTCTTTGAATATTGTCTAAGTTCTTCAAGATTAAAAAAGGAGCATGCATAACTTTCATGTTTTCAGTGCGCTGGCGAACTTTTCACAAAGAATCGACAAAGGAGTCCCTTTCGAGTGTCGTAACGAATAGTTTTAATAATTCCACATCAAAATCCAATCATTTTCCACTGTAATATTATTTTAAGACTACGAGTCTTAGTTAGAAAAGCTTCAAATATATATTCTACATCTTCCTTTTTAAAGAATATATATTCATATGTTTGCTGCAGATATTTTAATATGATTCCGCTCAATTAATTTGTTTCACACATGTACAAAATTGAAACAATGTTGTCACTGAAAATTAATCAGGAAAATTAGAAGCAGAATTTTGATTTACACAATCAAGCGATCTATTAGCGCAACCAATCGGTACAGGAAAAACTAGTAGCGTGGCAAACCTCAATGAGATTCCCATGCACTATTGTTTGAATGTTATTTAGTCATTTCTAACGTATAACAAAAAGGAAGCTATTTTTTGAAAGTGTCCAAATACCGGGAATACTCCTTTATATCACGAGTTAGCTGTCACACGAAGGAGGAAGCATCAAGTCGGGGATTCAGCACTGTCTCCCAGAATTCATTACTGTCTCCTCAATGGAGGGGATCGCAATGCATTCTGAGAGACTGATTTTAAAGAATGGCATATATACATGTCATGGCATCATGGACATGACATGTTGGACTAAAGAAGTACTGTGTATGAGCTATTATGCTCATGCGCAATTATGTAATATTTGATAAAAAGAACATCTTATATGTACGATTGTGTGTGAGAATTGTGGGATAGGGAGGTATGACTTACAGGACGTTGATGGGAATGTGTTACTGGGTTAGGTTGATAGGAAAGGGTAGCATACGGGATGTGTTTGGAATTGAGGGGTTAAATATAAGGGTGTATATGCGGTACCTACCTCCTCGTTCTGGTAGGCTGTGACGGCGATAAATTGTGTCTCGGGGAAGCTGAAGCTTGTGATCCTCTTCTTCTGAGAGTTATTCACCTTGACGATATGTACACGGGGTTCGTACTTGTGTAGGGAGTTCAACATGATCTGGAATGGGGAGAAAATCATTGCTTTAACTTTGGTGAACAGCCAATACCACAAATTCTACCTTAGAAATAAGAACTAAGACCCTCCGCGCTCTAACATCTGGGCAAATAAAAGTGGTTAATACAAAAATGATTTGTTTCATAATTGCTGTAAAATAAATAAAGTTTACATATTTAAACTAAGTAGACGAGAGCAAATCATTTGCTGTGCCAACTTTTGAAATTTAAAGCTGGTTTGGGCAAATCAAAATTTATTGTTAACATGTCTGAGTGATACTGGGTGTTTAGTTTCATTGCGATTCGATTCATTTCATAGTCTAAATAAACCTCAGCTATTGTTCTGTTCTCAGCGCCATCTGTAATGCGAGTACAGAGGTACGCCAGATATAAAATATACCGTGAAATTTCATGTTTAAATAAGTATCCTCGTGTTGTGAATTCATATTCCAACAGTATTCAAGTGTAAACAAAGTCAGTCTTTTAGGATCACAAAATGTTTGATGTGGAAATCAGAGCATGAAGATGAATGAAGAGATGTGTATAGACTGGTCTGTAAAGCATGACAACGCGGTGGTCAGTCTATAAAGCATGGGAACGCGGTGGTCAGTCTATAAACCGAAGACCTTATACAATAATAGGCGGAAATAGCCGTGACATAAGCCTCAAATAAAGATATTGGAGGTTAGATGAAAACCCTAAGAGGGTCGAGCAGAAACCTTAATGGACGATAGGGATGGTCTATCTGATACCTATTGTGGTCACTTGTTTCAATTTGGCCATTGTCAGATGTGGTCAAGCCTAATTTCAGCCGTGCTGCCGTAACTGATTCCGATTATCTCGCTCGTTTTGCTGACCACTGAGCATGTTTGAAGCTTGTTTGAGACACTGGCTCCAATAAATGTTGACTCTCCATGAACATCAAGGAAAGTACTCGTGGAATGGGAATTTAATGGGGTCCAATATCCCCCAAATAACCAGCAAATGGCCTGATAATGGCGCAGTAATCGCTGGTCTGTCGCCACCTCCCATCATACAATAACTCGTGTTAAACACTGTCCAAGTACATTTAATCCACTTGATGGAATCATTTGTCTACCTTCATCAACTTTAATAAAGTTGGTTAAACAGATCGCATGATAATACGAAATATTAGGTAATTTTTTTCTTGCATAAAAGCGTATGTTCTCTTTCAGAAATATTGCGTTTTTTAAGAACATAGTACAATAGTTCTTATTCAGCTGTAATTTATTCATAATTTTGATTTTACTGTCGACTTTTGCACGGGAACACATACTATACACCTTGTTACAACAGGTAGGGAATACGACTAGTGAAATACGAACCTGTCCACCGCCGTTGAGTTTGTTGGTGAGTTTGACCTTGCTGAAAGTCACCGTCTCCTTCATCCAATGAGCGCCGAAATTTGGGGAGTCAGGGTGGATGTACACACAGTTTGGCGCGGCCGGTTCAGCCTTGCCCCCCGCGACCCATTCCCCATTTACGTACTTCCATCTGTGGCTGTCCACCTGGGTAAAATCCAATAGGACCGTGTACATGGCATTAGGGTCCACACCGGAAATGTTCACCCGGAACACCGGAAACATCCGCCTGAAAATGGAAGTGCCAGAATGTTGGTATAAATTGTGTGAATATTCTTATGTTTCATATATCTGTAGGACGCTTATTTACTTTATATATGGCTAACGTACTATTGGCAATTTATACCAGAGAAGTTTATTTTTTATTTTTTCATCTTTGTGAGTTATAATGAGCGTAATATTTCTTTGTTTCTATATTAAATAATAATGCTATAGTGGCTATCCATGAAGATTTATTTGTCAGTAATAAAATGTGTTTGTCTTTTTTCCTACAAAAATAAGTAAGCGTAAACTCCCGGTGTATTTTTTTCTCTCTCTCCAAATCTCTTTTTTACATTTTATCTCAAATATATTTAATTTCTCATTAGGTATTTTTGGTGTAATTTATCGAGGACTGGTTTCATGAAAAGAGTCCGCTTGTCTATAAGCCTAACGAGACTATATTTGCCCCTATATATGTGAGTCTATATCTGTCTATAAGCCTAACGAGACTATATTTGCCCCTATATATGTGAGTCTATATCTGTCTATAAGCCTAACGAGACTATATTTGCCCCTATATATGTGAGTCTATATCTGTCTATAAGCCTAACGAGACTATATTTGCCCCTATATATGTGAGTCTATATCTGTCTATAAGCCTAACGAGACTATATTTGCCCCTATATATGTGAGTCTATATCTGTCTATAAGCCTAACGAGACTATATTTGCCCCTATATATGTGAGTCTATATCTGTCTATAAGCCTAACGAGACTATATTTGCCCCTATATATGTGAGTCTATATCTGTCTATAAGCCTAACGAGACTATATTTGCCCCTATATATGTGAGTCTATATCTGTCTATAAGCCTAACGAGACTATATTTGCCCCTATATATGTGAGTCTATATCTGTCTATAAGCCTAACGAGACTATATTTGCCCCTATATATGTGAGTGTATATCTGTCTATAAGCCTAACGAGACTATATTTGCCCCTATATATGTGAATCTATATCTGTCAATTTCAGACTGCATTTAAAGGAGTTCAAGTTTACATACAAGCGCAAAAGCATGCCTACCTCACAAACGCCTTTATAAGTGTCTGGTTATCTACAGCACATTTCCAATGGTATTTGCAAAATATCTAATTAACATTTAAACTGTAGAATTTTTGAAATTCAAATATCTTCGATGAAAATTGTGTAACAGCTAAAAATCTTAAATTCTTAAAAATATTTTACATAATTCCTTAATGCTTATTCGTTCAGTTTAAAATCTTGTGATTAATACATTTATAAGTAGATTAAAACGTATTTACTTGTTAAAAAGATAGTTAAAAAACTACACTAATGATTAAGGGATAGTTTAAAAAATGGACTGGAGTGTTGAAAATAGTAGCATTGAGGATATTTTATTAACTAAACTTTGAAATAACACTAATGTGGATATTTTAAAACTAAGCCGGTGTGTAATAAATAGTACAAAACTAAACTTTTTTTATGCATAAGATATTTCAAGACTGAGTAACCCAATGTGAAGCAGATATTTATAATTTAAGTGATTTATAGCAAATAACCTAACTAAACTAAACTCATTCTGTGTAGACAGTTTAAAAACAAAGCTCATTCTGTGTAGACAGAAAGTTTATATTAAAAACTAAATCTGTATAGAGGATAGTTAAAAACTAGATCTGTATAGAGGATAGTTAAAAACTAAATCTGTATAGAAGATAGTTAAAAACTAAATCTGTATAGAAGATAGTTAAAAACTAAATCGATTCCGGGTAGACAGTTTAAAACTAAAATATAGTCTTATTTATTTTAGTTATTGTTCCCCCTCAACCATGCCTGTCTGATTGTAATCAGAAAAATATGTTTATATCATTTAGATTATTTATTCCACATTAAACAATAATACTTATTTTTGTAATGGAATTGTACTTAAACAACAGACACATAGAATTAACAAATTTGTAGAAACAATCTTTCATATCTTATTGAAATCCTGTAAGATGAGAAAGAATGTGGTCGTATCTGTTGACACGTTCTACAATAAGTGTAGTCGTCTTTTTGTTTATACCATAACTATACATTTTACTTCACTTTAGTCGAGCTTAAATCACAAAGATGTTTTATTGCTACATAGTTTATTACATTTGTAAATTAAAAAATATTTTATAAAAGAAATATCTGAAACCATTTTTTATTTTCTATTTTTTTATGTGTGCTTACGAATTCCATTAAATTAAAACTGGAATAAAAACTATGATTATGTATGAAATTAAAAACACCTATTTCTGAGATTTTATTTTTAATTTGAAGGTGCAGTTAGTATCCCCTTTTCCAAATGAAAATGTTGTTTTTGTGAAAAGCTGCTCTTTTGACCGTGTAATTGAACATTATATTTATATTAAGTAATCACTTACACATTCCATTATAACGAAAACGAGACTTAAATTTTAAATCTGTATTCATTATACATCACACCTCCTTTTTCAATTATCACACTATTCTCCGACTTTTTCTGATGATCACACGGCTGATCTCGTGGTCTCCGAGCGTTAAATATCAATTATAGATTTTGATAAGGCGGTGTTATGATATGGGTGTTATTGATTGGAGGGGTGTTAGGGAGCACTACCCCGTTTATAAACCTCGGCCACTTGACAGCTACCTGGTATAACACTTACTCTCGCCGGCACATACACATTGATATTACTCGTAAGGGTCTGTTACATTTGTAAAATCGATCTTAAGGACATGTTATGCATTGGAAATAAATCTAAATTATCATTCTCAAATATATATTATAATACTTAACAATTTAAGTGAGATATTATTCTTCAATATATAATATGATATTTAACAATTTAAGTGAGGCATCATTCTTAAATATATATCATAATATTTAACAACCAAGGTAAGTTACTCGCTGTCAATTTAGAATTCTCTTATAAATGGTAAATAAGTTAAATTAAAATAGTTTAAAGACAAGCTGTCTTGGAATGTTACAAAACATAGGTGTCTTGGAATGCTGTACATTGTTTGGTATACTCAACCATTTTATATGTCTCCTGATTTGTTCAAATTATGAAAAAAATAGTTCATGAAAATATTTCCATGGAAGATAAGATATTTGAAACATGCAATTATTATTCCGCTAAGCACACGAATCATGAGTGTATACCAGGGACAGCTAATGATCCTGTATAACATCTTAGACTGGCCCCCGTCTCTAGAATATTGAATTATTAAGAAAAAAAATAACTCAAATATTTGTATCACTTTGATGTCTGATTATAGGTTCTAAACTCTAGGGGGAGATAAGCTAGTAGTAAAATGCAGCCGAGAGATTCTTCATGAAAATAACATCTATACGAATAGTTACCTTATTAATCTCAGCGATTTGGTTTTCTGCTATAGGAAAATATGCTAATATTTTTGAAAATAACAAACAGGACCCATAAATAATGAAATATTTCTTATACAATCACATTTTATTTTTAACGTTTAACGTTTTATTTAAAAGCTGGCTACTTACATGGGGCTACAGTACGTGTGAAGAGATTAATTTGGAAATTATTATGAAATTATGAAAATCGAGTTATCTAATCTATAATAGAATACTAACAAAATGCTTTAGAATTAGGCAATAGTAATGCCCCATCATTATAAAAAATCAAGAAATTGAATCGGCGGTGAAGACGACATGAGTAAGTCCCACTGACAATTATCTATATAAGGCATTGCATTATAATATGTCAACTTTGGAAGAATACACTAGCCTCCACTGTCGCTAAATAAAGGCTCAGGAGAAAATCCTAAAAGTGGCAAAACGTCCACACGTACAGAAAGAGAAAACATAAATAGTACAAATAGCACAATCACTTTAATTTATCAGCATTATAACAAGGTGGTCACGTTTTTGATAAATTAGTTTCAATTTTTGTTGTTGTAAACTTTATTTCATTCTGAATACACACATTTAAAAATTAGGTTAGACCATGTTCTGTAACAGATTGATTTCTTCTTAAAACACATAGATATATATTCAGTTTAGTGTATTACCAAATGCAATGCACACTACATGGACTGGGTAAGGAAGCCTATGAGCTTCTCCACGGGAAGCTATAGTGGACTCTTGTGAAGCATAATGTTATTGTTTAACAGTTTACAACTAAGCCTTTAATGCCGATTTTTTTTCTCCATTGATGATGAAAATATCTCAAGTTTAGNGTAGGTCCATGTGGGGAAAAATTGAAGTAAATGTTGAAAATTCTCAGGGTAGGTGGGTTCTTGAATCCCCCAAAAAAACTCTGGATCCGCCACTGGTACATCAGCATTGCTAGAATATTTCCATATATCTTTTACAATATTTTGTGCCGTAATATATTTCAAATATTTCTATAACATTAATCACTACTGCTTGATGTAAGTTTTGAGCTACAGTTCTTCAAATCTCATCAAAATCAGATCATAAATTCCTTCCTCTCTCCTGCATTACCATGTGATTTGAGATAGATTACAATTCGTACACAATTTGTTGTTCATGCTGGCTCTGAAATCTTAACAAGTACTATAATTATAAATAAAATATCATATAGATAAATTATGTAAGTATAATGTATTTAGCTTGCTAGTCGGTGGTATCAAGTTTTGTGTAAATTCTGGTGAGTGCAGAACTATTTATTACTCATAAATAGAAATAAAAAGAGTACTTGTTGGCACTCTTTCCTATGTATACAGTATATAGTCGGTACAAATTAATTTTCAATTATATAGTTAGTCTTAATATTATTTATGTAAACTGACTGCTTCATACATTTGATTTATTCATACTTGTATTTACAATATTGCACGCATATGTATATATTTAGATATAAGTGTCCATACCGTTCACATTCAATCCAACAATGGGTTCGTATAACTTATAACAATGGATTCAAAGGAAATTACCTACAGGATATATTTGTATTTATGTATAGAGAGGGCTAATACGTACTATTAATATACTATCTCTTTCTGAATAAAACTGGTTGAATTCTACATATGAATATTTAACAGATCAACCCTAGATATTGTTCCTTATAAATATGCATACTATTCTAAAGTTCCATCCTGTCATAATTTAATATATGAATTCATGTACATGTACCTCATGTTACACATTTTCATGTGTCTGAGTGTTGGAAATAAAATCTGAAATCCGAATAAAACTTAAAATTCTAGCTCCGATGTGTGTTTACTTGACTGGCTGTCGGGGAAGATATGATGGTGGAGGCGATATACTTGAATATTAGTCGACACTAGTTGTTATGTTGGTTATTGAATCTATCAATCTGAAAGGAATCAACCTCGTCAAACAGGGAATGGGATTATTTCGATTGTAATATTTGTTTCAGATTTGTAATACAAAGACTATATAAATAGTTGTGAAACTGGAAATTTTAATTTTAATTTTACAATTTAAATCTAATTTTAAATCGAATGTAAATAATATGTCATACACGTGCATATATACATAAATGAACAAACACATACATATATGTACAAACAGATATCATTATGTCATACGTATAGGTACCGACATAAATGGGTTGATTTGGTTTGAATATGCATATTCTGTAATTATATTTAAAAAATATTTATTTGAGAGTTTGTCATTGTAATTATAAACCATAGACAACCAAATAACTACAGATAAATTCAATTACAGTTCCTGATTTTTCTGTTCCGTTATAATCAGTTCATCATAATGTCCAAATGCACTAAAATAGGCACTTAGGATGTCAGCACTTGTTTACGTTTCAAAGAATCTATGCGATTTTTAAAAAATACATATTCATAAGTGACACAGCGTTCGTGTGTTGTCCGCAGGCGACCGCCTTGTCGGACTAGTAAGTGTATTACTAGTGGAAATCCGTGTTTATCAGACGCCGTTTATGTATCATAAGTTGTTATGAGAGTAAAACTGTATTATCTCGGTATTCAGGCAAGAAATAACTGTCCAGACCGTTCACATTCAATAAAACTAATAACAATTTATTCAAAGAACATTTTTACCTAAATGGTATCGGAGATGAAAACCTTGTGAAATGCACTTCGTTCTGTTAGCCTATCCACATGTTAAACATGTTCAAATAAATGTTGTCATTTCTATTTTTTCTGCTTGAGCAACTTTGTAAAAGAAAAATATTTAAATTAAAAAAGACCTTGCTGCATTATAGACTTGAAATTTCAGGTTCATTTTAACTTACATTACAAGAATATTTGAGCACTTTTGCAGTGGACAAAAAGAGATTAATGAATACATTTCTTCTGTTTGTTTTAAACTCGTTAATTAACTTTGTCTCAACACAAAGAATCTTATAAAACAAAGTATGTTTCCTCACAAAAAAAGAAAAAAAACGGACTCATAAATAATTAAGATTCCCGACTAAAAAAACACAACAAAAATATGTTCCCTTCGAAAGAAATTGATACATTATAAATACTTTGATGCATTTGATAATTTTGAAGTTGACAAGCTAGTGAACTGTATCCCGCTGGTTTTAACACACACAAGGAAAGCCGGGGATGAAGTATATTAATTAGATTTAAATCAGATTTTATTTTTGAACAAAACTCCAGAACTCAGCAAGAAAAAACTGCACTGCATTAGCATCTATTATGTCAAGTGCTACTACCGACTTCGACCTTGAACAAAGGTATTACCAAAGATTCTGGTGTGAGGGTAGAATACTAAACTATAAAGCTGTATATCTGTACTTTGAAAAGGTCCGTTTTAAAATAAGATTCTAGTACACTTCCTTTTGGAATGTTAACAATGTGATATATTATATAATTTAAATGAAATTCTTTTTCGATTTAATACAAACTGAGAACTAATCCCCCTCGCACTACGGAATATTGTTTGGTTCAAGCACTTTATAAAATAATATTTGTAAAATTCAAGTTATCGTTCAAACAGAAAGTAATACAACCCACTCCTGATTTAAGTTCAATCGTTATATTTTCTGAATGGAATCTAATTTTTGATGGTACCGAAAGTATATTATATTCGATCTCTTTAAGAACGGTCAATTTATTGAGTCAACACACACGTAGGGTTTCTTCATTCAAATCTGATGTCTTTTAACTTTGCGACCCTCTATACCTTTATACATTTATGTCGTCTACACATGGGGCCCAAACATCGTACAGCTATGTGGAGTCCCTTCAAACGTTTCTTACAATAAAATGTTATATTAAAAATTGTCTAACTATTTTAACGGCGACATTGTAACTTCTCGCTCAAACCTTGATGCTTTCATACAGCCAAGCGTGACGGGAGTTTTACAGGTAAGATTAATTTAGAAAAATCGACTTACCTTCCGTTTTTGGTGACGATCATTTCGTTGGTGAACTCCTTGAATTTTCCCCATAGCTCCTTGTCCTCGAGTTTGACATGTAACTGTCTTTCCGTAGGGTCTCCCTTCTCGCTGCCCACTGTCATTTCACTGTCCACTGCATTGAGCAGGTGAGATACATTCAGGTGTGTTGATTTCATTTCACAACAGTTTTCTAATTCCGCAAAACCAGAATCTCCAAGATTCTTAGTCTCCAGTTTGAAGTCGCAAGTTGTTGCCGAATCTAACATTTGTGGAATATTTGTCAACTTTGTCGAGAATTGGGCTCAGTGTAAAAGAGGTTGTGTTGGAAGCGTTTCGACCCAATCTGTAAAGTGTTTCAATGAATGACTTACACATGTTTACAAACTAACACTCTAGGTAGATTTCAATCATGTGATCCTTTGATCTTGCCGATACCGTCGATTACCGCTGACCAATCGTATATCCGGAGGATTAAAAATGGGCGGAGCTATAGCTGGCACATTCGTCTTCGACGAGAAGTAGGCGGGGTCACAGTGAAATATAATCCAGTAATTGAATATTCATGACTCATGTTATAGGCGAAGTGCTACATTCGTATATCAATACTAACAATTAGAAAATAATCGATTTGGCAGTATAAGTCATACAAATTTACACTGCCATTTAGACCTTTCTCAATGCACATAAATACATAGGAATCAAGTAATTACAAAAATAGAGTTTTAAAAGCCGAATTGGCAAATATAGATAATATAATGTTTGTTCATTTGAATAATTATGATTGTTACGCTAGGTTTGTGTGACTAACCAAAGCAGAGAATGTACAGACACCACTAAGTCAATAGGACTATTTAGACAATAAAACAATTAAACAATACAATACAAGTCCGGTCAATAATCCCTTAATTACAAACATGTAAGATACGTATTATTATTTTATTTTATCGGAGGAAAACTCATGTAAACAAAATTTCATACAGTTATAACTATAAATAATTTTATTAGAATATGTATTATGTACATGGATTTTACAGAAAAAAAACATGCATTTTCCCGAATAAAAAGGCCAAGACATTGACATTTATATTCATGTTAACTGAAATTTTACAACGTAGAGAGGCGTATACTAGCATCATGTAGTTGTTAGAGGGTTTCTTCTGACTTTATTCACTATAAAGGAGGATATTTATTAATTAAAGCTCCACTAGGTAATAAAGATATTTCTACAATCGTCAGAGAAAATATAAAATAATCAATTGCTTGTCGCATATATGGCGAGGAATTAATAAAAATAAAAGCATAAAAAAGATAACTTTCCCATTCTTGCAAATTCTTATACAATCTAATCTGTTTAAGACTCATGATCATGAATAAATCTTGTTATAAAACATGTATAAGATATATCAATCAGTAGTTTGTTTTTCAGTTTCCGATACAGTGGGAGATTGGGATGATAGCAGACATTTAACACAGCAACTAACTTTTTATATATTACAATTAAAGAATTATCAATTAAATAAACCATTAGTTTAAAAACCTAAATTAAACACATGAAACTACTCGGAACGGTGACAGGGCATTACACACATAGAGCCTCTAACAGATAAAACAAGCAGGCCCGCTTAAGATGTACCAGTCTGCTAGATCTCCCTCCAGGACTAGCAAAATGTTTATTGTTTAATTTAGAATTTGTTATGCTTAATTTCCGATTGAATGATAGATGGAATAACAATCCAAGAGAAGATAGAAAATGTATTCTTTGCGACCTGGATGAAATTGGAGACGAACATCATTATTTGTTTAATTGTAATGATCACCGGATACTGCAAAACAGAAGAAAATTTATGTCGAGATAATATTTTGAAAGTCCTAGTACTTTCAAGTTCAATACATTTTTTAATTATGTAACTAATGAAGAATTAATTTCACTTATAAAATTCCTTAAGCACATAATTGAGCGAATTAACACTGTCCATGAACACCATGATTTATATGTAAATTGTTCTATATATATATGTGTAAATTCTCTACACTATAACCAGTTTGGGAGAATAAAAACTTTGTCATTGTCATTGTCACTGGTGCTTCCTTGTCATACTTGTGTCCTTTGAGATTCCATGTAGCGCTCATTCTAGTGTTTTAAAGTATAATGTTTATTAGACAAGTAAACAAATGTAACATGTACATTTATACCAATTAGTCAAATGTGTAGATTAATTAATCGTCAATGTGGTATATAATTTGAAGCATGTCGTGATAATAAATTGTCATCTCAGGTAAATATGATCTCTGTCAAACTTACGTTTGAACAACATTTTCTATGCAACAGGACTTTGTAGAGTGATTTCCTAAATATCGCTTATCGAGAGACGACAGACAATACAAACATATGTATTAATATATATATTGTCTATTTTAAATTTTATTTTAAACTTAGACAACAAGTATAATTAAGAGTAAATAAGTAGATGTGTAACCTTTATTTATACTTGCTCCGAAGTATGTTATGAAATGTATAATTAAATTTTGAGATTGTCTGGGTCCATGTTTGACCGATACCTACCTCGTTATCGCCTGTAGAACGTAGCAGGCCTGTATCATCAGATACCGCGATGTTTACCCCTATATTGATACAGAGGCGGTCAGTATACTGGTCAGCCTGTGAGTAATGTGTAATCAATTCACATTTTCAGAATTCTGCCAATAGTTTATCAAGTTCAAGTTCTTTATTTGTTGAAGTTTATAGATCAATAAGGGGAATGGTCAAATTGACCAGTCAGTAGTTTTGGTCATTCCCGAAATTCCATCACCAATAACGTAATGATAGAATGCTACGCCGAGTCGGTGGCACTACATATTTACAATTCTCTGGTTTTCATTGACCCCACAGTGCTGACAAATACTACAGAAAGCACAGTCTACATATAACATATACAAAAGTTACCTTATAGGGTTATTTACATCTTATCATAAGTGAATATTTTTAGTTTTAGGATAAATTTAACACAATATAACAAACGTTCTCCTATTACCGAATGTTTGTGTTTTAATTTTGGGACATCATTTTGTGTCTGTTTAACATGTTTTCACTGAATCTCTCAAACGGTCACTGCTGTGTGTTATTGCATAAGGAAGGACCTATCTTGTATCGATCTCGTAAAATATGTAAGTAATTAATTGACATTTTCCGAATTTTAACCATAACTAACAAATCGATGAGGAGAAGGTGAATTGACATACCTGACTGGTGTAAATAAAACCCAGTACAGGTATTTGTTTTACCTGAACCTATTCACAGACAATAGACTCCCACAAACATTCTTATTTACAACGCATTTCCACTGCTATTTTCCGATACAATTTTAAAATTTTGACAATGTTAAGAATGCCACACGTGGAATTATATAAATATAAGTTACATCAGCTATATCGATACATCAATGTCGCCTGACGGAGGATTGTGTATCATGGACGGCTGTTTATTGTGAAACATTGTAATTACGGGTCAGCACTCCAGCTTCATTTAGTACACTGTGTTAATTGATCATTACAGTGATTTTACACGTACTTGCTTTTCTGACGTCAGCATGTACGGTCACGTCACCGCCCCCCATCAGTCTCTTTTCACATCATTCCAATTCTTTTATTCATTATCATGTAAACTTTTTGTTTTACACTTTGAAGATTTAATAATTACGAATTTTGTTTTTAATTTTATTATAATACTAAATATTATATTTCTCTAGATATTTGATTTTACACGAAACTTCTATTTTGCGTATAAATTGTCCCGCTTTTACGAAAATTGACTGAATAAAATTGAAATGATTAACTCAATTTTACTTACCACGTATTGTTTTTTGTAAATTGAAAATATATATGCATATGTTTTTTTTATTTGTGTAAAACACACACCATAAGGCTATTAAGACGTTGTATTACCTGTCCAGGTGCGATAGATTAAGATATTGTTAGTCAATTATAAGTCTAGGATATGGACAATGATTGTCATTTTGTGCTAATTGGCATTGTCTAAACAAAATTAGCAGCACGTTTGAAGGTTTGCGTTCGTTTAAGACAGACACATTTGTTTATTTATTGCTAAGAAAACAGTAACTAGAGAAATCTGTTGTAGAATTTAACGTTTGCTTACTAAAACAGTTGGTATTGTTGTTTTACTTCTTCTCTGAGTTGAAAGTTGGCACATATGGCATGAGTTACGGAGATGAGGACCTACCTAAGGGTTGGGAACACCGCCATACCTGTTGGGGAGGGGTTAAAACAACTAACACCCTTTCTCTAATCGTGTAACAAACATGATCTGGGGGATTATCGGCTTTCTTGAAGACAAGTTTTCGGGAGGGTGACAACTCTATTCTACCCGTCCCCGTAGTGACACGAGTGACATTTGTGAGGGGACGAATCTGGTGCCTCGTGAGGGACGGGTTCCGGGATGACAGTTTGGTGAGAAATCGTTTGTCGATAAATCGTCAGCGGCTAAGTACGGGACGTTTGTTTATCTTGTGTCAGTTATCTACATTACCGAAACAACACATTCATGTTGATAAACTGTGGGAAAGTCAAGCTTTTCAATGAAAAAGATCCAATTGAGTAATTATTTTGTTGTCAAGATTTTCCGTTTTCACTAAAATCTAAAAAATGTCCTGAGATACATAGACTAATGCCGCTGAAAAGTCATTGAGATTATTCGTTTACAAAATTTTGTTCGTTAGCAAAAAAGGAAAAGAAAAGATAAAAAGACTGCAATCATTTGAACTGTGTGAGTCAAGTTCACCAATATGACGGAGATCTGCTTCTTTGTTCTTACCGTTTATAATGAAAATAATCAAATGCCTATTATATACATAATTACAATATATAAATAAACAATAATGTCATGACGCTATATGTCATACTTCTCTGCAATTGAAGGAGAGTCTATGATAATAAGATGATAATAAGACATTTTTTATTTTTTTAATTTGAATAAAACACATAAATAAATACACAATGAGCTTTATAATAAAGATACGGTTGCTCTCATGTTTATCCATTTCTCGTTTGTATTTTTCAGATACAGTTGATGAGGGAGGAAAGAATGGAGCCGAGGAGAGAGGAAAGGGGGGGGGGGGAGAATGGAGGGGGCTATGGAACAGAACACCCACAGTCTTGTGTAACAAGTGTAAGACCGATAGATCCTATAATAAAACACGATATGATTGATGATCAGTAACGAAAGATCCCGAGAACACAGGGACATGTTCATATTTGATTTTTATATGGACTAATAATTTATTGCAGACGAATGGTGTTGGAGAGAAGGGACCGTGTT